AAGGGTATTTCTATTTGGGTAGGTTTTGTGTGATTTTATTAATTATTTTAATTTGAGAACCTTTTAAGTTCATTTTCATTGTTTCGAGTTTTTTAAACACTCAAAACGTCAAAAAGTATGTTATGTTGTAAAGTTTTCCTTGTTTTCGAAAATGCATTTTTGAAAATAACATACCAAAACACGTTTTTACAGACTTAGAAAACTAAAAATGGCCTCAAAACAGCAAACCAAAGGCACTCTAAATCTTCATCATTCCAAGAATCTGTTGGAAGATAAATCAATTGAGCAGGGATAATTGGGCAGATATACATGCACAAAACAGGAAAACCAAAACAATTAAGTAAAATACATTTTACTAGATGACAGATTGAGTTTATTTTTAATTTTTAACCTACAAGGCAGTCCACAGTTGTCATAGAATCTAAAAATATTTAATACGGCCTGAACATATGCAGCTCATGAGCATGCAAACACATAAAAAACGTGAGAAGCTCACATGCCTGCCAGCCCACACATTTAGAACATAGGCACATTCTTGAGCAGTAATTTAGAAAATTCCATGACAACCGGTGTACAGAAAATGCTAAACACAGTATTTGATGGTGTATGAACATCTGGAGCTCACTTGGACTCAAACACAGAAAAAAACATGCACCACCTACATGCTCACTGTCATTGTGCAAGAACATAGCAAAATCCGTGTGCAATATTTTGGACGATTCCACATCCACCGATCTCCAAATGCAGCTTATAAACCCTAAGCCCAGGTCACGTAACAATTACAGACAACATTTGGTATGCAGAAAGAATGTGAAAATATAAAGGTCAAACAAGGAGAAGAAACATAAATTAGGTTCAATATTAGATACTATATTATTATTTTTTGCAAGTATGTGACATGACGGATTGTAAATAACTTTCCTGCCAACCTCAACATCGTCCTCTTGCAAGGTATCAATAAATTTAATTCATCCAAGAACATGACAAATCAGAATAGACAAACTTGAAAAATCAGAATTTTGGAGCATCCACAAGCAAAGAAGATAAAAATGGACGATGGGATGGGGAAGTTAGAGAAACCCAAAAAAGGCATGTGCATGCACGATGGTGTCCAACCAAAGGAAACAAGGAAAAAGGAAAGAAAATGCAATAGGGTAACAACAGACTTTGCAAGTATGGAACTTCTTCCTCTTTAGAATTAATAAGTTGGTACAGGAAGTTGTTTCCATATGTTATCCACACTCCATGGAAAGAAACAACAAAATAACAATCAACCATAGTGGGAAGACAAGTAAATCCACATTAGCTTCTAAACAATAATGACATGTAACACATCACAAGAGCATATCAAGCCAAAGATACACGTATCAACAATTACCTTTGTTTCATGGGACGACGTGCATTATACACCGAAATCCACTGGGTAGCTGGACTACCTAGTCGCACTTTCTTCTTTGGTTGTTCGTCCTCTTCTAAGTTAATCGGCAACCTTCCACGCTTCTGGCCAACCTGCTCATGCAACATATGACAAATTCAACACATGTTTTCACACATAGGGACATACACCTATAAAATAAATATCGACGAGTATATCGTTTATATAACCTTTAGAGCTCCATCAATTCTTATTAGTCTTAACGATGAGCACGGTTCGATAAGACTCTCAAATAATGCTATCAACTTAGAATAATTTGGTTCCTCGTCAAAGTTCATATTTGTAACAGCCTCAAGGAACCATTTGAATGGAGCAGGACAAAAGCTGCACATCAATTCTGAAGGAGTAGCCATTTTCTTTTTAGAAACTAAAAAACTCTTGTTGTCACCCTGCCATCATTCAAAACCGAATGGAGAAGAAGTTAAAAAATTTATGAGCTCAGAGAAGTTGCAGACAATATGTTACAAAAGCAATGGTATCAAATCACCTGATACCCTTGCCATGGTAACCTTCCCTTAATTAGAAATATCAGTGTGTACGCCAATGACTCAAGATCATCCCTCCTACTCCCAGTACGACCCAAATGTGCATGCACACTTGCATACCTTACTGTGCCCCTGTAGATGGAGTTTATTAGTGCGAGTCTAGTCCGCTTCAAACATTAAACAAATTAATTCCCAACCTAAATATATCAGGCCTCTGATCATATTCAACATGCTGAGCAGAAGATGCGTCTTTCCACCTGGATGCTGCCTCATCAACACATTAGAACAGTAGAAAACTACATTAACCAAAAGAGGTATCGAAAAAAAAAAAAAAAGAAACAAACAAACAAGGGAAGGAAAAAATATCAGCAGCAGAGACGCATAAAAATATGCCAATAAGGCAAAGAATTGGAATTTTACTATATTGCATTTCAACATGCCTGGTTAGGGCTGTGGAGATGAAAATAAGAGAGTAAAAAATAGCATTAGCATCATACCCAAGCCAAGATCAATGAGATATAGCTTTTTCTCATCAGCAGTTCCAGGTTGACCAAGTAGAAAATTCTCTGGCTTCACATCTCCATGTACAAACCTAGGTAAGTAACAAAGTGAAGTAATGGTGATAAATATTCAAAGTGAAAATGAAAAACAAAACAAAACAAAGGATGTGAGAAGATTCAAAATATTAATGACATCTTTGCAGAAAGATGAAGCAATATGGTAGAGAGAGAAATCGGATATCAAAATGGTTTACCCCTTCATGTGAAGCTTTTCAAGAATTGATATAGCCTCCACGGCAATACAAGCCACCATGCTGGTAGACATTCTGTTTCAGTGCTCACCATTAGACAATGAAGGTGAAATACAACGACAACGATATTTTAGAGAATTTCACCCCAAAGATAATCTCTGTGTGTGCATGTGAGAGATAAAGCAAGAGAGAGGGAGATGCTATATCTTACGACTGGCCTAAAGAATTCCAAACATCCCATAGACTGGGTCCAAGCATGTCCATGACCTGAAACAAAATTTTCATTAAACAAAATGATAAAAATCTCCATGCAAAAGGCAAAATCAAAACTCACCAGGATGTAAAAATCTCCTTGACGACCCTTGTAGTGAACCCATGGGATCCCATAACATCCGTTCAGGTTACTTTTCATAAAACGTCAAATAAAATAAATATCAAGTTGTGGAAGTACTAAACATCAAAGAGAGTGAGAAGAACCTCAAATTAAATACATGAATCTTACTTGTACACCTGCCACTCATATGGAGGGCCATAATTGCAACCCTTACTGTTTCGGTGCTCAAACTTCAATGCAACCTATTAAAAAAATTCCATATAAATTCAAAATATGAGATAAAATTGCAGGTATCTAAAAATTCCATGATAGAATGCAATCAGATACCTCAACCGCATCTGCTCCTGTTCTTTCGGTGCCACCATTAACCCTTCGACCAACATAAACTTGACCAAAACCACCTTTACCTAACTTCCTTTCTGTCTTATACACTGGAGAACTACCCACTTGTACCTGCACCAATGACATAAAAAGACTAATTTAGGAACTCAAACTGAGGGTACTAAAGGTCTAGAAGATCATCAATAGGCAATAATTGGATTAATTGAAATGAGAATGTTCAGTAATTTGAAGACTGTCAAGCCCATCCATCCACGAGGTGTGGTAAAGAGATTTCCATAAAGATAAACGTTACAGAATCAGAAAAGAACAAGGACAAAATACCCTTTCAGGTACGGGAGTTGTACTTGCTTCTTCTTCAACTCCCATTATTTTGTCCGCACTCCCACCATTCATGGCAATTTCCTTATTTGCAATTCCCTCTATTCTATTAAAAATTGGTTCCCCAGCCCCAAAGGCAACAGCTTGAGGAAGAACCTCACGATGAGGCTCCGAATCTAAACCTATAAACCTAGCGCCCCTGCCTCTTCCAGCAGCCGTTGGCCTTGAAGGTGTCACTGCTGACGGCCCTTTTGCTACAGCCACTGCATTGCCTCTCCCTCTTCCTCTCCTTCTGGCTCTGTTCTGAGTGGGTGCCACAAAATTTTCTTCGTTATCAGGGTGTTGAGGGGCAGGCTGAAGATCACTAAGCCGTTTTGATCTCCGTGCTCCGCTTCGCAACTCTGGCATCGTTACCCATGCAAATCACACCCACTCAACACTTCACCATCTGTCCAGAGTAGTCAATTACCCAAACAAGAATAAGAAATCGAAGAATGATTGAAATAAAGAACCACTCATCTAAGTAAATGAGTTCATGGACAATGCTGTTCAAGAATTGAGAACTGAGCTGTTATACAAGCAGAGGTTGGAAATGAATCAAACTGTAATTATGAAGACAGAACTGAACTAGAGCAGCTCAAAATTTTCATATGCAAGAAAGAAACACTTAGCTTTAACCTTGCAACTCACATACAGAAAAATATAAATAAATAAATAATAATAAAAAAGCACTTAAAAAGCAATAAATATAAAAGATACTATTTTTAACAAAATTCGCCGATGTTTACATACTTGCAGACAGATTCTTTCTTGTGTGGATGAAAACTATAGATTTTAGCCAAAAATAAAATAAAATAAAATAAATTCATGCGAAGAAAAATCAAACTTAATGAAGCACATAAACAACCGAAATAGAATATGTAGCGCAAAAAGCAATCTGCTCAAACGCGGCACATAAAAATCCAATATAAAAGACCAAATTGTAATAATCCACGAAAAAATAAAATAACATAATACCATAACGATCAGCTCATCATGTGGGCTATAATTAATCATCCGAAAAGCGTTAAACTCTTCTCGTTTTCGTACATTGAAGTTTAAATAAGACAAAACATCCAAAAATAAGAAGCCGCAGATCTTACCACAAAAACAGCAAAAGCTGGACGATCGTAGATAAAACCAAAGAAAATCAAACTTAAAAATTAAATTCGATCAACTTATTAATTACAGAAGAATCGGCGGAGAGGAATACCAGATAAAACTTTGAGGAAAGTATTTTTAGTGTGGTGGGATGTGGTGTATCGGTGAGTATTTCGATATTTGAACCGATTCTACGGTCTTCCTAATATCTTTTTCTACGTATTGTATTTCCTCCCTGTATTTTTATACGCGGCCGCGGGGCTTCCATAGATTGTAGGTTTTTCCTTTTATATTTTATATTTTTTACTTTTTTTTGTTTTACTAATAGTAGCAAAAGCAATGCACCAAAGGGGATATCAATTCTTCTTATTTTTTATTGTACGGAATAATGGTTTACAGAATTATTACATAACACTCACATGAAAAGTGGGTGGGACGGATATTTTTTCCAACTTTTTATTTCGTGTAAGTGTTAAGTAATGGTTCTATAAAGCATAAGTTGTATAAACAGATTTATTGAGGGGATATACTACAATAATTGCCTCAGAATGGGAGTTACATTAAAAGTGGTGAAGCTTATGGGTTTTCCTACAAAACGGTGGAATTTGGCAACAATGTAATAGATAAATTTTCATGGAAAGTGATTGAATCTAGTAATGATATGTAGTACATCAACGGCGTGGTTCTCCTGCTTAATCAAGATTTTTTTTGTTTTTTAATTATTTTTTATATGCACCAAAGGGGATATCAATTCTTCTTATTTTTTATTGTACGGAATAATGGTTTACAGAATCATTACATAACACTCACATGAAAAGTGGGTGGGACGGATATTTTTTCCAACTTTTTATTTCGTGTAAGTGTTATGTAATGGTTCTATAAAGCATAAGTTGTACAAACAGATTTATTGAGGGAATATACTACAATAATTGCCTCAGAATGGGAGTTACATTAAAAGTGGTGAAGCTTATGGGTTTTCCTACAAAACGGTGGAATTTGGCGACAATTTAACAGATAAATTTTCATGGAAAGTGATTGAATCTAGTAATGATATGTAGTACATCAACAGCGTGGTTCTCCTGCTTAATCAAGATTTTTTTTATTTTTTAATTATTTGTTATATGCTCAGAGATATTGAGTAATACAAAACAATCTCGAGTCAAAAAAAGTTAATATATTGAAATAGATCTTAACTTCTACTGAATATCAAGAAAGACTTCCAATTATCAATAATTAATTCATTTGAATAGGATTAATTCAAGTGCACTGCAAATATATTGGCCATAGCAAAAAAAGGAATATCTTCGAGGGTGTTAAGGAGAGGGCCTAGCATTCAAGTTGAATGTAAGGACCGGGTGCTCATATATTTGGCATAGGATCCTTTGGGGCTG